ACCAGCTCCCACTGACTACTTACCTGAATTGATTTTGAAGTAAATATACTGGCCATTATTCCCACTATAATTAAAAAAAAGGTAACCCACGAGCTATAGAAGCATCCACTAAATATTTTCTAACCCAAGTCACTACATCAACATTTCTTGTAATAGCCATCTGTTATCACTAACATGTTATACTGTGATTAATGAACTATTATAAGAATCTTCACTCCAATAGCATCTAGAGTAAAAACAATAGCTCTAACCATAAAACTAAGACTATCCCTTAGGGAGTATGGGATTGATATGTACACTCTACTATATATAAAATGGATAACCTACAACAAGAACTTAGTGTATAGGCACATGGAACTCTGCTCAATGTTATGTGGCAGCCTGGATGGGAGAGGAGTTTGGAGGAGAATGAATGCATGTATAGATATGGCTATACTCCAACAGAAAAGGGAACTTTTTTTTTTTAAAGAGGGATGTATATTAGCAAAAAAGGACTGCTGAACCATTTCACACCAGTTAGAATGGCTATCATCAAAAAGACAAGAGATAAGAAGTAGTGGTGAGGATGCAGAGCAAAGGGAACCCTGTTGCACTGTTGGCAGGATTATAAGTTGATACAGTCACTATGGAAAACAGTATGGAGGTTCCTCAAAAAATTAAAAAGTGCACTACCCTATATATGACCCAACAACGCCACTTCTGGGTCTACATCTGAAAAAGATAGTGGGATCTCAAAGAGATACCTGTACTCCTATGTTCACTGCTGCACTGTTCACAAGAGCAAAGGGATAGAAACAACCAAAATGTCCATTGAGGGAGTAATGGATAAAGAAACTGTGGTGTATATATATCCAGTGAAATGGTGTTCAGTCACGAGAAAGAAGGAATCCTGCCATTTGTGACAATGTGGATGGATCTTGAGGGCACTGTGATAAGTGAAAGAAATCAGAGAAAGACAAATACTGTATATCACATCTATATGGAATCTAAGAAAGTTGAACTCATGGAAACAGTAGAATGGTGGTTGCCAGCAGCTACAGGGTGAGAGAATATGAGGAGATGCTGGTCAGAGACTACAAACTTCCAGTTATAAAATGAGTAAGTTCTGGGGATATAACATACAGCAGGGTGACTACAGGTGACAATACTGTTACTAACAGAGTAAATCTTAAACGCTCTCAATGCATGCACACACACACATAAGCACACACAAAAGATAATTATGTGAGGTGATGTGTTAACTAACCTTATTGTGATAATCATTTTCTAGTGTATAGGTATATCATGTTGTACACCTTAAACTTAAACCTTATGTGTCAGTTACCTATAAAGAAAGCTGCAAATAGGAAAATAAAAACTAAGACTATCTCCATTCCACTTCTGTGTACCTGAAGTTACATAAGGTATCTCATTAACAGCAGGCTTAATCTTATTAGCATGACAAAAACTTGCATCCTTGTCAGTATTACTCCATGTCTCAGCCTAAACCCAGTATTATCCATATCTATACTACTTATTGTAACTGGAGGATGAGGTAGACTAAACCAAACCCAACTATGAAAAATTACAGCTTACTCATCAATTGCTCACATATGGGGTAAGACCCATTATATTGCATAACCCAACTATAACAATCCTAAACCTATACTTTATAATAACACTTACCATATTCGTACTATTCATTTATAGCTCAGCTCACCATGACACTATCACACACATAAAACAAAATATCATTACAACTTCCATTCTCATCACACCATTATCAATAGGTCTTTCACCACTATCATGCCAAAATGAATAATCATTCAAGAAATAGCAAGAAAATAACAGTATTACTAATAGCTATCACAGAGTTACTCAACCTGTACTTCTACACACAACTCACATATTCTACAGAACTATATTTCCCTCCATAAATAATATAAAAATGACAATTTGATTTTACAAAACAACTTTCCTACCAACACTAATCATATTATCCACAACAATCTTACCCCTTACACCAATCCTTTCAGAAATGGGCTAGGAATTGAAGTTACACAAACCAGGAGCCTTCAAAGCCCTAAGCAAGTAGTATAATTTACTTAATTCCTGCTCAATGAAGACTGCAAGACTCTATCCTACATCAGCTGAATGCAAATCAAACACTTTAATTAAGCTAAATCCTTACTGGATTAGTGGGATTACACTTCCCACAAAACTTTCAGTTAACAAGTAAATACCCTAGTCAACTGGCTTCAATCTGCTTCTCCCTACTTCTCCTGCTGCCAGGAAATTTAAAAAAAAGGAGGGGCAGAAGCCCCAACAGAATTGAAGCTGTATTCTTTGAATCTGCAATTCAATAAGCAAAATTCATCACAGGACTAGGCAAAAAGAGGACTCCACCCCATCTTTAAACATACAGTCTAATGCTTACTCAGCCATTGTATCTTATGTTCATAAACCACTGACTATTCTTAATTGGCCATAAAAATACTGGTAAGTTATACTTATTGTTTGGTGCTTGGGACTTGTTAATTTGCGCTGAATTAGGCCAACCTGGAACACTGCTTGGAGATGATCAGATTTACAATGCAATTTTAACAGCCCAGACATTTGTAATAATTTTCTTTATAGTTATGAGTATTGCAATTGGAGGCTTTGGGCACTGACCAGAGCCACTAATGACTGGGGCACCCGACACAACCTTCCCTGTATAATATAAGCTTCCAATTACTCCCACCCTCCTTCCTACTTCTACTTGCATCATCATCAATAGTTGAAGCCAATGCCAGTACAGACTCAACTGTATATCCACCCTTAGCTGGAAACGTGGCTCACACTGGAGCTTCAGTAGACCCTACCATCTTGTCCCTACATCGAGAGGGTATTTCTTCAATTTTGGGTACTTTTAATTTTACTACCATTATAAATATAAAACCACCCACTATATTCCACATTATTGTGTGTGACCAGTTTTAATTATAACTATATTGTTGCTATGGTTATTGTTTAGTCACTAAGTCATGTCCAACTCTTAGCAATCCCATGAACTGCAGTGCACCAGGCTTCCCTGTCCTTCACTATGTCCCAGAATTTGATCAAGCTCATGTCCATTGAGTTGGTGATGGTATCCAACCATCTCATTGCTACTATTAGCATCACCTGTATTAGCAGCTGGGATTACCATGTTATTAACAGACGAAACCCTAAACACAATCTTTTTTTCACTAGGCAGGAAGGAGGTGAGCCAATAGTATATCAACACCTATTCTGATTCTTCAGACACCTTGAAGTTTATATTCTGATTTTACCTGCATTTGGAATAATCTTGCATATTGTAACATATTATTCAGGAAAGAAGAGCCTTTGGGATATATGGGTATAGCATGAGCCATAATATCAACTGGATTCTTAGGAGTCATTGTATGAGCTCACCATATGTTCCAGCAGTATAGATGTTGACACACAAGTATATTTTGCATTAGCCACTATATTTATTGCTGTTCCCATAGGGGTGAAAGTATGTAGTTGACTAGCAATCCTTCATGGAGGTAATATCAAATGATCTCCTGCAATAATAGTGAGCCCTAGGCTTCATTTTTCTTTTTACAATAGGTGGATTAACAGGTATTGCCCTAGCTAACTCATCACTACACACTGTCCTTCACGATACATATTACGTAATTGTACAGTTCCACTATGTATTATCTGTAGCAGCAGTATTCGCTATTATGGGAGATTTTGTATATTGATTCTCACTGTTCTCAGGATATACACTCAACATGAAGCAAAACTTTACTTTGTAATGATATTTGTAGGTGTAAATATAACCTTCTTCCCACAACATTTCCTAAGTCTACCTGGAATACCATGACGATATTCTGACAACTCAGATACATACAGAACGTCAAATACTAACTGCAGTAATATTAGTAATTTTCATAATTTCAGAGGCATTCACATAAAATGAGAAGTCTCAACGGTAGAGTTAACATACCTCCTGGGAGAATGTGGACGGGGCCAAAAGAGGGAGGAGCCGACAACCTCCCAGAATCTTTCACGCTGTAATCCATTCTGGCTGAGAGACGCGCACGTCACCAGGAAGGACCATGAGTCAGATTACCAGCCAAGCAAGATGACCAGCCAGAGACAGCCCAGAAACTAACTCCTTACCTTAAAACCCGAGACTGTGAGCCATTGAGCAGGGCAGTTCTCGTGGGTTCCCTTCCCAATAAAGTCTTTTGCTGTGTCAGCACGTTTGTCTCCTCAGACAACTCATTTCTGAGAGCCCACTCGGGGGCCTTGGAAGGCCCTGAGACACCTGCGCCGCGGCCTCCTCACAGTGCTGCAGTCTCCCTGGCCAACACACTTGTTCTTCAAACACCCGAACGCCTGTCCCAGGGCCTCTGCCTGTATTCTTTCTGACTAGCAGGCCCCACGCCACCAATCTCTAGTTTAACATCCTGATTATTCCTTCACTGTACTTAAAGCTGAGCATGTTCAGTTTCTGTCCATTGTCTCCACCTGAGCGTAAACTCCCTAAGAAAACCTCCCTTATTAGCACTTCTCACCATGTAGCTCAGAACAGAAGGGTGTGAGGAATGTGTGCTGAGCAAATGAGTAAGATTTCAGCTAGAAACCAAGTGGAAAATGCCAAGAGATGAAACTGATTCTGTAGTCCAGCATCAAGTGCCCTTTCTCCTGGCCCCTGGGCCCCGACCGTGTCCAGGACGAGTCCATCCCTGTCCAATCGTCAGGAGGAGCAGCACCAGCCCTTGCAGAGACTCACCTTGGGCAAGTCCTGTGTGTGGTGTCTGGTCCTCACACCAGCCTTCCACGCAGGAACTGTGTATCCCCATTTTGCAGATGGGAAAACTGAGGCTCACAGAGCTGACGTGAATGGCACAGTTCCGCTTTGAACCAGAAACCTGGAGCCACAGCCTGTGCTAGGTACGTCAAGAGGGAGGCCGTGCTGGCCACAGACCATCTCTCCCCAAGTCATGGATGAGCACACCCACCTGTGAACTTCCAGAGCCACTCCAGGCCGATCCAGGCCTTCCTCAGAGGCTTCTGTGCAGAGTGGAGGGTGATGGGGCGGGTGCATGCCTGCTGGATATATATCTCGAGGTGGTCTTGGAGGTTCTGGCCAACTCCTGAAACCAGAGGGGATGGTTAGGAAGACGTCTCCCAAAGGGGCTTGCTTGGCTGGCCTCTCAACATCCCCCTGGTTTTGAAAACTCTCCTCCTTCATCCACTTATGTGCCAGGCCAGCTCCTGCTCATTCCCAGGAACCCTATTCCTGCACTCCCAGCCACGTCTGGCCCTCTCGGATGCTGCCAGAGCTGCCTGCCTCTGCCCCTTGCTCCCAGGGTACCACCTGTAACCACCCAGGTGCCTTCCTGCCAAGCAGTCCTCCCCCCAGGCCTGTAGCTGGCACTGCTCAGTCAGCTGCCCCTGGCTGGAGAAGGAGGGAAGCAGGCCCGTCATGCTGAGCCCATCCAAGCTCAAGGGGACGCTGGGCAGTTCACTGCCATGGACCAGCACTTTCACAGGCCTCTCACAATAAAGCCTCCAGCCCTCTCATAAATAAGCAGTTTGATTTAGCAGAGACACCTCTGGGGTGCAGCAGGGAAGGGTGCTCACCAGGAAGGTGGCACACCACCGGGATGCCCAGTTTCCTGAGGTCGTCGGCATTGCCCACGCCCGACAGCATGAGCAGCTGCGGAGAGTTGATGGCACCTCCACTCAGAATCACCTCCTTGCTGGCATAAGCCTGGAAGAGGCAGAGGGCCACGCAGGTCATGCTTCCCTTCCAGGAGAGCCCATCAGCACCCTGAGAACATGGCCTTGGCAGGACCAGTTGGGGATCCTGCTCAAGGCCCAGAGGAAGTGGATGCTCAGGGCGCCACTAGGGGAAGGGTGGGTGCAGGTACAGCGTGCAGGGTAGGTGTGAGCATAAATATTCTGATATTTTCTGCCACAGCCAGAAAGTAATGATGGTCCTGAAGTAAGTACTGTAGTGCTTAAATGAGATAAAGGAAGCAAGCACTCAAACGAGCAGTTTAAAAATAAAGCCTGTGGTGAGCCAGATCTTCACACGGGATGCAGGACAATCCTCACACGCTGCTAAGTGGAACACAGCACAGTGCAGAGATACGGAGTGTGATCACAGATATGGTTCTTACCTGAGCTGAAAGTCACTCAGTCGTGTCCGACTCTTTGTGACCTCATGGACTGTGGCCCGCCAGGCTGCTCTGTCCATGGGATTTCCAGGCAAGAACACTGGAGTGGGTTGCCTTTTCCTACTCCAGGGGATCTTCCTGACCCAGAGATCAAACCCGGGTCTCCTTCATTGCAGGCAGATTCTTTACCATTTGAATCACTAAGGAAGCCCAATATGGTTTTTAAAGCCTCTAACATAAACCTATCAATTTCTGGACAAGTGTGGAAGGCAGTAGCAGACAGGTTCAGGAGGGTGCTCATGCCAGAACATCACCAGCCGGTGGCCAGACTGGGGCTCCCTCCCTTCTAACAGGCCACTGCCTCCTGCCAGGCCTGGGGACAGTCTCTCAGGCTGTTGCTACCAGCCACTCACTCCTTATCACCATGTTGATGGAGACAAGATCATGACTCCTGCCCAGCCACACTGACGGTGACCTCGGGGTCACTGCCTGCTCCCTCCCGGCCAAGTGAGCTGCTCAGGCCTGGTGGTAATTCACTCACCCTGTGGCTCTGGCCATTCTTGATGTACTCCACACCCACTGCACGGGTGCCTTCAAACAGAACCCTGCTCACAAACGTCTGGGTCTCGGCTGTGAGGTTGGGGCGGCTCAGTGCTGGGTGCAGGTACGCGCAGGCTGTGCTCCAGCGCTTGCCTGCAGAACAGAGCAAGGAGATCAGTCAAGCCCACGCCAGTTCCCTGGTTACCGGTCATACAGGGGGAGGTAGCTAACGACAGGATTAAGAGCCAGTTTGCCCTTCTCCTGACTCTGTAAGCCCTGTCTTCAAAGGAAGACTGAGACCCAGATGCCCTGTGCAACTGAAATCCACATCAACCCGGGGCCCCTGGATGCAAGTGGGCATCCTTTCATCCTTGAGAGGATGGGATGACAAAGGCCAGGAGAGGCTGATGATGAGAGTCCTGGGTCCAACCTGGCTGTGCCTCTGCCCTGCTGCCAGCAAGGCCAGTCACTGCTCTGTGCCTCAGTATACCCTTGTGTAAGGCTCTGAAACCTGGGGCTATGTGGCCGGAGAGCTGACTCTTCATTATCCACATCAAATGGGACCAGAGGATGCCTAAGGTGTCGCCACCTCCCGGTCACTTCTCACTGGCTTTGGGTGGTATCCTGTGGGCTCTCGCCGGTGCAATCTGTCACATCCTCTCCACCTCAAACCAGCCCCAGTCTGTCCACACTTACTGACCACGACCGGGTGCGGGGCGGGGGCCGGAGGGATGGGGCTGTGATAGAACAGCTTCTCGTTTTTAAAGGAGGAACCTGGGAGACAGGGAATCAGGAGGCTCGCACCTACCTTCGTGGATGGTCATGTCCATCCAGCCGAAGCCCTCTTGCTGGAAGCCGTTCATGTCCTCGGTGAGGGGGTAGCCGGCCTGCTGTGCCGCCTCCAGGAACGCGCGGTGCAGCGGATGGCCGCTCTTGCCCCGGGACACGCGCAGGGGCCCGTCGCCGCCGCGGTACCTGCCGGCGCCCAGCTCGTGCGCCTGTGCCCTGCGGAAGTAGGGCAGGCAGTGCGCATAGCCCCAGCCCGCGGCGCCCTGGCGCTGCCAGCGCTCGTAGTCCTCGGCGTGCCCGCGCACGTAGACCATGGCGTTCAGCGACGACGAGCCGCCCCAGACGCGGCCCCGCGGCCAGTACAGCACGCGGCCGTCCAGGCCTGCCTGCGGCTCGGTGTGGTAGCACCAGTTGTACGTGTCGTCGCACAGGTTGGCCACGAGGGCCGCGGGCATGTGGATCTTCCACCGGAGCCGCTTGCTCCCCGCGTACACGTCCTTGGGCCCGGCCTCCAGCAGCAGCACACGCTGGTCAGGGTCCTCCGTGAGCCGGCCGGCCAGCACGCAGCCGGCGGAGCCCGCACCCACCACCACGTGGCTGTATTCGCCCCGGCTCCGCGGGCGCTTGCTGGCCAGAGCGCGGAGGCCCCGGGGGCCCTGCGTCCCCAGGGCTCCCCATGGGCCCAGGCAGCCTCCCCGCCAGCTTCGCAGGATGCACCACATGCTTCGAGCCCAAGTTCTCTTACTTCTACCGAGGGAAATGTGATGATTCACTTGCCCTAAACATAGAAAAAGAGGGTTTGCAAAGTTTAACTCAGCATGCACGTACAGAACCGGTGCCCGCCTGGCGCTGGGTGCGGCAGGCCTGGGTGGCACGTTCCTGGGGAACCAGGAGGAGCGAACACAAGCAGGAATATTAGTCCTGGGGGATCAGCGCCAGAAGCGACAAGCCCAGCGCTGGGGGCACAGGAGGCTCCTCTCCACCTGCGGGGCGTGGGGGGTGGTCCCCAGAAAGGCTTCCCTGACATCCGTCCATGAACCTGGAGGTGGGGGCAGGACTGTACCTGCGAGAAAGCAGGGGCCTGAGGGCTGTCCGTGTTTGCCCTGACTCCTCATCCACTCAAGACGGAGAAAGTCGCTGAGGCCCCACCACATGCCAGGCACCATGTGGTCCTCTCTAGGAATACCCAGAGAACAAGACATCTGCCCTCAAAACTGATGGTCTGGGACCTGGGAGACAGACAAGACTTACATAAATAACCAAATTAAGGTCAAGGTGAGAGGCTGGAGACTATAGCTTACAGCCTTTGGCCTGAGGGCCCCAGAGTGCAGGAGAAGGGTTTGCAGCAGGCGATGGGGTCAGAGCCACAATCTTCAAAGATCACTCTGTCCAGCGCCAGAGTTTTAACAAACGTCAGGAACTTCTGGAGGGTCCTTCCCCAACAATGTTCACCTCGATTCCAGCATGCTCAGCGCACACGGGGAGAAGAGCCACGACATCCGTCAGGACCTGCGCTGACACAGGACCTCTGAGCAACTGAGGCACACAAGGCCTGCCCAGGACTGAGGCCGGATCGGAGAACTGGAAACGCTCAGTAAACCCTGAGAACTCCCCAGCAGCCTACTGCAGGAAGCAGGCTAAGAAGAGAGTGGAGAGAGAAAGATTCCAAACCCCCCACCCCCACCCCCTTCCTGCAAGCACCACCAGCAGCGCCTCCCAGAAACTAAATCTGAAGCAGGAATTCTGAGAACCTTCCAGTGTTTCAGGCCACATGCTAGCACAAGGCAGCAGCAGCCCACTGCTCAACTCCCAACTGGGCTGACTTCAACACTCACACTGATGACCTGACAGAATAAAAGGCAGGGATAGACACTGTTCACCCTCCAGTCCTATTATCCTGTTACACACAAGGTCATGCATGTGTAAGAAAGGTCCTGCATACTCATTATAAAGAGAAAAGTAGTGAACAGAAGCAAATCAAGGGGGTGACCCATCCAAGATGGTACAACTATCGCAGACTTCAAAGTAACAAAGTTTAAAGTTTTGAAAGATTTAGCTGAAAAGGTGGACATGTTGAACAGATAGGCAATTTCAGCAAAAAGTTGACAATAAAAAAAGGCACAACTGCTACAAATTATTAAAAAAAAATTACCAGAGATAAATAATTTGACTGGAAATGGCAGAGAAACAAGTGAAACTGAACATCAGGTTAGTAAAAATTATCCAATGGAAATACAAACAGAAGAAAGAGTGAAAGAACAGAACAGAACAGAACAGCTGAGAGCTATGGGATGAGACCAAACCATCTAAAGTATACACAGCTGGAGTCCAAGCAGGAGGAGAGGGATTCAGGGAAAAAGAGGAGGCGGGGAGAGAGGAGCAGCAGAGGGGGAAGGGGAGAGGCGGGGAGGGAGAAGGACAGAGGGAGCACAGGGGAGAAAAGACATCTGAAGAGATAATTGCTTAGACTTCCAAAAATTAATACTAGACAAAAATATCACAGGTTCAAGAAGCTTAGAACATCCCAAGCAAGATTAATAGAACGAGAAACACACCTAAGGTATATCAAACTGCTGAAATCCCAGAAGATCATCAAAGGAGCCAGCTCCCTGTGAAAACATATGTACAGAGGAATAAATTTAAGAGTGCCTTGCAACTTCTTATCAGAACACATACAACCCAGTGGGAGGGGGGTCTGGGGGAGAATGGATACACGCATATGGATGGCTGAGTCCCTTCACTGTTCACCTGGAACTATCACAACATTGTTAATCAGCTATACCCCGATACAAAATAAAAAGTTAAAAGAAAAAAAAAAAGAAACTCAGATATGATCTTTTGGATGTTTTATACCACCCTGTTGAAAATCACTGAATTAAATACATTAGTGTCATAGCATTAAAAAAAAAGAAAGAAACATACAATCTAGGATCAGATCAAGATGGTGGGGGAAAGCAAGAAAATCATGTAACAGTAGGATCAAAGGAGAAAAACAGAAAAAGAAAGGAATCGGGACAAAAGCTGGGCCCCCAGGAAGGAGCTGTGAAACATGATGTTTCTGCCTCACTGGTGCAGTGATCTGCCTAGACAGATGGGGAGCCTCGGGGCCTCAGAGGAGAGCACGGTAGCCAGCTTGCACAGAACGGAGCAGAGAAAGACCCGCAGAGACAGTGGGTGCCACCACCCAGCACTCCCCGGCCTGAGACATTCATCCTGTGGCGTGGGTAGGGGCTGGGTGCTGTGGCTCCGGCTTCAGAGACCAGACCTGGAGCAAGGACTGGGATTGGCTGTGTGGTGACAGCCTGAGCGGGTAGGGAAGAAGCCTCTACCTGCCAGAGAGTCAAGGGACCATTGTTGGGGGGCATACAAGGTACCGCACAGCTGCACTCATTTCACATGCCAGCTCGGTAATGGTCAAGATCCTTCAAGCTAGGCTTCAACAGTACGTTAACTGAGAACTTCCAGATGTACAAACTGGATTTAGAAAAGGCAGAGGAACTAGAGATCAAATTGTCAACATCCACTGGATCATAGAAAAAGCAAGAGAATTTCAGAAAAACATCTCTTCTTCATTGACTATACCAAAGCCTTATACTGTGTGGATCACAACAAACTGGAAAATTCTTAGAGATGGAATACCAGACCACCTGACCTGCCTCCTGGAGAAACCTGTATGCAGGTCAAGAAGCAACAGAACTGGACATGTAACAGTGCACTGGTTCAAAATTGGAAAAGAAGTACATTGAGACTGTATATTGTCACCCTGCTTATTTCACTTTATATGCAGAGTACCTCATGAGAAATGCTGACCTGGATAAAGCTCAAGCTGGAATCAAGATTGCCAGGAGAAATACCAATAACCTCAGATATGCAGATGACACCACCCTTATGGCAGAAAGTGAAGAACTAAAGAGCCTCTTGATGAAAGTGAAAGAGGAGAGTGAAAAAGCTGGCTTAAAACTCAACATTCAAAAAAAAGATCATGGCATCTGGTCTCATCACTTCATGGCAAATAGATGGGCAATCAATGGAAACATTGACAGACTTTATATTCTTGGGCTCCAAAATCACTGCAGATGGTGACTGAAGGCATGAAATTAAAAGATGCTTGCCCCTTGGAAGAAAAGCAATGACAAATCAAGACAGCATATTAAAAAGCAGAGGCATTACTTTGCCAACACAGGTCCGTCTAGTCAAAGCTATGGTTTTTCCAGTAGTCATGTATGGATGTGAGAGTTGGACCATAAAGAAGGCTGAACACCAAAGGATTGATGCTTTTGAATTGTGGTGTTGGAGAAGATTCTTAAGAGTCCCTTGGACTGCAAGGAGATTAAACCAATCAATCTTAAAGGAAATCAATCCTGAACATTCATTGGAAAGACTGATGCTGAAGCTGAAGCTCCAATACTCTGGCCACCTGATATGAAAGTGGTCTTTTCATTAGAAAAGATCCTGATGCTGGGAAAGATTGAAGGCAGGAGGAAAAGGGGACGCCAGAGGATGAGATGATTGTATGGCATCACAGACGCAATGGATAAGAGTTCAAACAAGCTCCAGGAGATGGTGAAGGACAAGGAAACCTGGGGTGCTGCAGTCCATGGGGCCACAAAGAATTGGACATGACTGAGCAACTGAACAGCAACAACAACACAAGGAGAGGGGTGGGACTGCCAAAGGAGTTTCTTTCTCCACGTGCCCGCTCTCAGGGGGCAGGGCACCACTTCCACAAGCTCCAGGGGTGGGAACAGGTGCCACCACTGCCATCTCAGACTCCAGAGGTGGGCATGAACTGCTGCCACCACCGAGGGTCACATGACTGGGTGCCCCTGCCTCCCTGGGAGTGCGTGAGGGTCACACAGCTGCACATCCCTTGTCGGGAATAATGGTCAGCACATGCTGAGGAAAGAGACAGCAAGCATCTAAACCAAAAACAATCCTCGTCCCCCCAAAATATTAAACCCACACAAGCTATCCAGGGGCACTCCTGCATATAAGAAGCCACCTAAGACTACAGTAGTGATTGTTTCTCCCAAACTTACCAAGTAAGAGAAACACAAGCAAAATGAAGAAACAGAGGAACCACTCCCAGTTAAAGGACCAAGAGAATTCCCCTGCAGGAATAAACAAGGAAACAGACCTCTTCAGTCTAACAAACACCAAGTTCAAAAAGGAGGTAATGAAGATACTGAAGGAATTAAGGAAAGTTATCGAAAGAAATGCAGATGACTGTAAAAAAGAGCTAGAAACTATAAGGAGGAGCCAAGAAAAATGAGAAAATTCATTTGCTGAGATGAAAGCTGAGCTAAAGGCAATGAACAGCAGAATGAATAATGCAGAAGAAAGAACAGTGACCTGTTAGATAGAATAATGGAAATTATCTAATCAGAAACAAACAGATTGAAAGCCAAGTGAAAAAAGAAAGAAAGCAATGTATGATAACATAAAGTGTGCCAGTCTACACATAATAGGGATTCCAGAAGGAGAAGAAAGAGGAATTGAAAATGTATGTGAATAAATTATGGCTGAAAATTTCCCAACCCTAAAGAAGGACACAGATATTCAGACACAGGAAGCATGAAGTGTCTCAAACAAGATGAGCCCAAACAGACCTACACCAAGACATATGGTAATAAAAAGGGCAAGGAACCCACGTGCAGTGCAGAAGACACAAGAGATATGGACTCAATCCATGGGTGGGGAAGACACCCTGGAGCAGGAAATG